AATGGTGAACCATTGAGTACCTAAAGATCATCATACTAGGGCAAATGGCTATTAATGTTTCTTTTTCTGACTGACACCATTTCTCTTTTTTGTTCCTTTGTTTAAACTATTAAAGCGATTCTTGAAGGAACTGATCTCAAAGGTCGTGTTAGTCGACGATGAAATTATCAACTTCGATAACATCATGTCACATTTATTCTTTTCACCGAATGTTATACCTATGCTATTCCAATTCATAGTGTAGATATAAAATATTAATATCTTCTTATTTTTAAAGACAAAAACCTACTTTTAAATAAAATAGGTATGCAAAAATGTTTGCCCTATGCTTTTCAATTCCTTTCATTTACGAAAAAAGCGACTGAGGCCTCAATATGCCAGCAAGCAAACGCAATATCATTTTGTAGCTAATCCGAACATATTGCAGGCGGCTATTTTTCTAGGACGCCCCACCAGACAATGTTTGTTTATCGTGTGAATTCGTGAACATTTTGAATAGAACCGCACTGTGTTCTGGTGTTATATATAAACAACATGTCAATTGTGTAGCCCTGACAATAAAGGACTAACCTAAATATTTGGAAGTCCAATGAGGACTATGCTTTCTAAAACTGTTAAAATAGTGTTTATTTATTTATTTACTTTTGAAGAAGGCTTACAGACTAATAAATGTATGGTTAATACAAATGTGTGTTCATGTTGCTAATTAAGAGCCAGATCATGTGATACGTGATACGATATGCGATCACATATAGGTCATATATATGATCACATACAGGTACACATTCAACACATTCTCATAAAAATACAAGCATAAACAGATACGAACATGGACATGAGAGCAAACAAAAACAAGAAAGTCAATTAAGTAAATGAATTTAAAATAAATACAAAGAAAAATAAAAACTGTAAACCATTATCACAACATTAAATAAAATCAATGCTAATAACCACACAATGTAACAGATGTTTCTATTACATTATGTAGTTGTCAGCATAATGTTAATACCAAGAACCGTTATTTGTACTACACTACACACAAAATAGAATAAATACTACATTTATATTAAGAAACAGTTTGAGCACCACATCCAACAGTAAAAAAATTGTCTTGATAAAAGCCGCCTCACTGTGCCCGGCTCAGTACAGAACAAGTCATACTGTAGAGCTATGAAGTTCATTGAAGGTACGAGCACTTCGCAGAAGGAAGGATTTACTCCTATAGTTGGAGGTCACGAACGGCACATGGAGCAATGGTCGTTGTCTTCGACTATTTTGGTTGGTACGCAAACTTAATTTAAGTTAAGTATCTATAGTATCATACAGATTTCATAATACTCAAGTTATCTTTGAATTTATAACTTATTAAACTTAAGTTCACTGCTGCATACATATTTTAGCCTTTGTATCCCTGGAAAGGGCAGAGATGTATTCAATACTCATATTTTGGCAACTATAATAATTTAATATTTTACCTTAGTATATTTGTGTAAGGTAATATGCATTTTTGTTTGGGATATATTTACATTTGAATATAATCTAATCAGAGTCCTTATGTAACGGACTCATGTGCAGTTTTAAATCAAATAATCTGTTATTTGTGTAATTGGATCACGGTCAACCATAAACCCTTACACGAATTCGAGTAGAAAATCATTCATTTTATAAACATTATCATTAAAAGTAAAACACAATCGTATACTATTTATATCTAGGACCTGGGGTCACATATGTATTTCAAAATGTAGAGACTCCTACAATATACACAAGCATACTTAACTAGAATGGGAGTCCATATTGTGCGTAGGTTATAGTTACTATGTTTACCTCAAAATGTGTTTAGAGCTGCAATGGTTAGTTAAGCTCAAAGAAATTTTGAAAAATAGAAACATAACAAAAGCCACAAAATCAGGCTCGTGACAATGTCGATGTTTCCAATATTTTGAAACGCCGGAGAGACGTGGACTGACAAATGTCCAAAAGATAGACGCCTTAGAAATGTGGTGTTGGAGGAGAGTGCTCGGCGTCTCTTGGACGGAGTGCCGAACAAATGTCTCCATTCTCGAGGAACTGGGTATCAAGGAGCGGCTGTTGAAATTAAAATCTAGACCCTGACGATTTGTGTATAAGCCAAGTGCAAATAGGGGCTTAATTCCTGTTATCAGTTCTAACTGCCTCGGTGGTGCAGTGATAGCGTATGCGACTGCTGGACTGAGGTCCTGGGTTTGATTACCGGGTTGGACCAAATGTTTGCATGATGCTGCTGAAGCTGTGCTTAGTTTGAAACTAGATGGCGTTGAGTGTCAGATGTCCCGTCAGATTATAAAACAAGGCTATACTTTGAATGTGTGGTAATTGTATTCAAATTAAAACAGTCCTGATGTATCAAAATTATAAATAATTATTGGTTTTACTTACTTTTCAGATGTGTCATCGCCTAATAATAAGAAACCAGTACCTTTGTTGATTTTTAAGATTATGTGGCCACAATTTTTCTTCAAACTACTTTTTCAATGTGGTTTGTGAATGAACAAAGGGGAGCCATTTACTCATTTACAAAGTTCCTCATATTACTATAATATCATATCATACTTACAATATTGCTTCCTATCTGCTTCGAAGAAACAGTAATCATATCATCTTATCTTAGTAATCGTAACATCTTACTACCAGAAAGGTGTCACGGAACCATTTAGATGTAGCAAGATTAGACGTCATTTAACTGCAAAGCAGAAATGTAATACTCTTCATATGCAATGACTTCTTATTCTTTCTTCTTTCCTTATCTAAGCCTATACCTACATTTATATAACCTAACTTACAATTTTAAACACACACTACGCTGTTTCTTATACTTATCCTTTCAAGTCAATCTAGCTTTCACAGTACAAGCTTTGCTTAATTTGAAACGAGATGGCGTTATATTAGATGTCCGAAATATTAAAAAGAAATGCATTACCCATGACTAGGAACCTACACACACCTAAAGGGAACTAGAATAGGTACCTATCTGTTTCGCAGTATTTTGTCCAATTCGAGTTGCAGTTTTCGACCGTGGCCGAGAAGTTCGGTCATAAACGGGTAACCAATACAATGCATCATAGATATCAAAAAGGTACCTAGTAATGGTCAGAATAAAAAAAAAAGGATTAAATAAAACAGGTACATTTTATTGAAAAAAATATGTACACAGCAAAACAAATAAATAATCTTATGTTGTATATTAGTCTATAAAACATTAATTTCATTGAAATAAAATACTATACATTAAGATTATGTACATAATACCATCTCACAGGAAGTGCTATCCGATTATAATATAATAAACAATATCCATTTAACATTTAAATACTATGTCGATATTTGGAGTCACATTTATTATTTAGGAAAATTTAAGTGGAATCTCTAATATACGATAAAATACGACAGTTAATAGAAAACAGTACGCTATGATAATTTCTTGATATATTTATCGGACACCCAAAGATCACATAAAGGAATTTTGCACATTGATAAATCTAACAATGACTGTTGATAACAAATTACCTATCCATAATGTACTCATGGCATGACTTATTAGTAACACATTACCTAGATATTTCTTTAAAAACTTTCTCTTATCTAAACATTATCTGAATATTGTGATAAAAGCATTTTAGAAATGATTTAAAATAATCTCCCTTGCACCACAAACCAAATATTTTTATCAATTAAGCGACACTTACAGAGATATCTTAGGTTTAAATATAACAAATGATCATGATATTAGTTTCTAAACGTGCTAAAATGTGATGTCGCCGTGATGTCTAGTATCCATGTAAAACAATGTATAATGCCACTTATCACCAAAACTATCTTTGTATAGGTAGGCCTATGCGAGAGTTCACGATATATTAAAGTTGTATACAAAAATTTATAAATATGGCTGCTGTATTTCTTCCCACTTAGAACATAGCAGTTATATGTATAGATAAAATCTGACTGATTCTTTAATAAAACTTTTTGTTTGAGTTTTCATTTAAATAATTATATCGTTTATTACAACTATTTCTATAATATTAACAAAAGTATAAAATTATTAACGCAAACAAGTACCACAATGTCGAAACTAATAATGTACTGTACTTATCAATTATTTAACCGAAACAATGTCGACGCTTCGGTCGCAACGACTTGCGCCAGGCCAGTGTTATTGTCAATTATCTCATCTATAATATCTACATTTTAATATGCTCAATATTTGACTAGAAATCATGTTATACTTATTACTTTCTAACAAAACACATAAAAATTTACAAGATATTATATAGCATAATTTCTTATCAATTTACAGTTTGCTAAAATTGTACAATACATCGATGACAGGTGTGGAATTTCATATTATCTTTAATATCGAGAGAAATCTACTTAAGTTATGATCTTTACTTACCCTAACACATATAACGTGAACAACAATGATTTTCAACCACGGTCGTTACACCTAAACAATGCACGTCATAAATTTAATAAAACTGTGATAAACCGCTGCGTATCTGTCAATAGAATGGAAATATTATAATAATTTGCATATTTTTAGGAACATCTAATGTCTAGAAGGAATTTTGATCCAACGATGACACGTATCGAACACAAACTTTACCAACGCTAAATACAGTGATCCCAATTAAACAATAGGTAATACGGAATGGTACAATAATCACTGAATGGTAGTTTCAACATACACATTTACAAGAAGTCTTTAATATTATCAATCTCAACACAATTGTTCTAACTAGTATTATAAGTTAAAATTGTTAAATTATAACTCGAGGTGATGCATTTTCAGAGATTTACAAGTACATTTGCAATTTAAATCACTACATTATTGTGATTTTGTTGTCATGGCCCATTAGCATAATCTTCTACCATTGTATCTTACGTTATTATGATATAAATATTAATTCACAATGACAACTCATTTAAAATGAGAACGGGACAGAATTCGTTCCGGAAGGGCTGCATTAAGTCGATAAATCGTTCTTAAGGTACACCTGGAACCGTCCTATAATGAAGAATAAAGTTATACAGTTAAAAGTTGAGATTTGAGCGCAGCAACCGCTCGGGCTGTACCTAAACGTGGGCGCCACTCGTCAAGGCTCGGTCATCGCGAACTACGTAGTCTCGTCCCGTCGCCCGACTTACTCGGACTCGATACTAATTTTATTGAATTTTTCTTGTGATGCCTGTCCCTATTTCTGGATTTATCATGTTTTTTGGCTCGTCGCGCCGCTTCTACGAGTTCATCCTCTTCGATGGCACACTCCGATTCCGGTTCTTCGTCGCACACCCTCGAGCCGTCACTTTTTTTGTCGAGCTCCGCCATCGCCTCTTGAATCGCGTTCTCGAGAAGCGTGTTCAGTTTTCTACTCCTGTTTCAGTAAAGCAACGATTAGACACTAGCATCACTCGTATGTGGATATTTCTAGCCTCACCCAGCGATAAAACTAGACATCGATATCTAGGTTGGGTTAATGACACAACGGGGTCGAGATTAAATCACAGGATATTCCCATACGGGAGCCGAACGCCGTACGGTTCGGTCGACGCTCGACACCCACGGCCGAAGCGACCGGGGTCTAGAGCGACGCGTACAAAGAAACGACGGGAGACCTAAAGGCGGACGCAGCCGTAGCTAAAATAGGAATAGGGAGCGGCTCGACTCACTTCCGGTGGCGGTTGCGCGCGGCGTGGTGCGCCTCGAGCCCCTCGCACAGCGTGAGCAGGCGCGAGTGGTGCACGGCGGCGGGCGGCTTGTCGGCGCCGAACCAGCGCACGGCCCAGCGCCCGGCGCGGGCGCGCGCGCGCAGCTTGCCGGGCCACGACGCGTAGCCCTTCACGGGGCCCCACACCAGGTCGCCCACCTCGAACTTGCCGCCCCCGGCCTCCTCCTCGCCCGCCTCGTCCGAATCGTCCGAGCTCTTGGTATCTATCGACCGATCATCTCGTTTAGCTGCGTTTTAGTTCGCGGCGGTGCCTCCACCGGTTGTCCGCCACCGACGTCGTAGGAGGCGGGTTTGTCGCCCGGCCGCGCTATAGATTCTTAGAGCGTTGCGACTGACCTTTTCGAAGTTTCGCCGCCGTCGCTTCGATGGTCTGTCGATAATTTAGGAAGACGGCAGAAGGGGCGGCCGGGCGTCGTTAGTGATTAGAGTTGTGACCGGGGTGAGCATGAAAAAGTTCGATCGAACTGCGGGTCTACTTTCTATATAGTCTACCACGAGTGTGCACTTTGCCCGACACCTAGGAGAGAGTTGACTCAGTTCGTATAAAGAGAAATGTGCTTACTTACGATAATGAGCAGATGAAATGATGATTGCTTTACAATGATGCGTTAGTAATGAAATCCCAATCTGTGAGCCAATTTGTTACTTCGAATGTGGTGCAATGGAAAGCGACAGAAAGCCGGGTGAAAACATTTGAACGCTGCGCATCACTGATTTATTCTGATTAGTTTCCAATACACCCTTTATTAACAGCTGTATCTTGTATTAACCCAACCGAAAGAAACCAATGACCGATAGTATCGCATTATGTAGAAGCTGAAATATACCACAATACATATCATTATGAGTAATCGTTGACAAACGACTCCACAAACTTATTATCAATTTAGTACATCGGCTTGCAGAGAGTCAATCCAAAACCAATACAAGACACAACATTTTACTCAATTTTGAATTTTGTTAGCTGTGACTGAAGCGTGAGATGGTTCTGGATATTAGTATTGAGGCGGTCAATTCGACCGCCCAGTTTGATAGATATGTACAGAAAAATGTGGGTTAGATTCAGAACTTTAAATAGATTATATACAAAAGAATAATATAATACATTAAAGATAGTGAATGATGTTACTGTAAAAATGTAGATTGTAAACTTTATTTGACCAATGATTTATAGTTTTTAATTCAAATTGTAGACGACATTACTTTACACGATAAAAGAAATAAAGGATAATTAATTTATATTTAATATTTGTATGAACAACAACATGACACTGTAATAATAAAATTCGCATTCACATTTCTCTACATTATATACAAATATATAGTAATCGAATAATAATAAAGTGTATTGCACACTGAAGCTAACAAATACAAATGCCCACCATATTGCATAATATAATTTTTAAATAAGTAGCAAAGAGTCCAAAAAGCGTAGCAGGAAGGAGAACTATAAAAAAGTAAACTTACCGTCGCCGGAGCCCAAATGTCTATCAAATACTTTGGGCATCGTCGATGTATCTGAGCTACCAGAAGGAAAATGTCGTTGAGGTTTATCTGGAGAACTCATACCCATACCGTCATACTCTGAATCCTTAGTTAATCCATGGACCATATTATAGTTGGCTGTCCTCATGATCTTGTCAGGTTTGTAGGACGGTGTGTCCCCAAAATCGTTTTTCCTTTTGTAACCTAAACTTCGGTCATAGTAGTTTGAAGCCATTTGCGTGGCTTGTTGATTGTGAACTGGTGGTGTGTTCATGCTTTGGTTATAATGCATGTCGGTAGATTCTACAGGATTATGTGAGCGACTTTGACGCATCACTGGTGTGTGTGATATCATACCTGAAATTTAATTACGTTGGAAATAAGGAAAAGTTTGAAATTCAAGCATCTGTGAATCACAGCCTATTTTTGTTCTATTACATGTCTACAAACCGCAGCATCTTTTCAATGTCTGTATGACGACTATTCACAATAACTTATTATAGAATAGTAGAATTAAGGTATACGGTTTTAATTATGTATGTGTGCTTCATAAACGACCTCGCAGCATAAATGCAGGTACCCGAAAATTTTCGGTCCAGTGAGCTGCCGTGATAGCACGCCTCAGCCCTCGATAAAAACTAGTGGTGCATCAATGATATATACACTCGAGAAAGCCCTTGATGAATATAAATACAACTCACGAAAGTTTTCAGTCAAATAATACAAAAAAGAAACAGATTAGACTTCACAGTATTCTACTGTATTACTTTACTAGAATCTTATATTATTACAGTTCATCAAATGTTATAAATAACGGTAGAAGTTTCATAATTTTCAAACCCAAAAACTTTGTAGGCGTAACTCACACAATTTCAACAACGTTTTCCGTAAAACAATGGAATTATAAAGCTATTTTATTTAATCATAAGATGAAGATATACAATAACTAAATTTAAATCTTTTAAACAAAGCAACGTAACCAATAAATCCAAAAGATAGTTTTTTTAGACTTCGTTTCAAAGTCAGGTCCTTTACCGTAGTGTTGCGAATCTTAAAGTTCACTTGAATACGAACAATCGTTAAAAGGTACGAATAATCGAACTTAATAAAAACCAGCTGTTTTCAATCCAGCCGTTTTCTAGCATTAATATTAGTTGAATTTCAGCTGACATCTAACTGTCAATAAAAATGCGTTATTAAAATTAAAAGTACGGGTTCAGCTTTCCATTGACGTCCGTCAATTTGGGGGTTGATATTTTTTTACAGAAAGTTTACATTATTATAAGAATACACGCAAAGTTTCAAGATGCGGAGACGCGGTTTTTGAGAAAAAAAATTGAAATCAATTATTTTTGCAATATTTATGTCAATCCTTACCACAGATTATATAGAATTCTATCCATTGAACGTTTCGTTTTACCTACGATTTAGTTGTCATACGTTCGGTAACATTTTATTTTATAAAAATTTACATTTCGTTCCACAAACCGGTAAAAGAAGGTTAACACTACACATTTTAATTTTAATAAATCGTAATGAGAATAACACTGTAATTTAATATATATAAACTGTTAAATGTATGTGTGCATGAAAACTATTGAAATGAGTACAAAATATAATAACGAGTTAACAAAAGTTCGTGGAATGAAAGGGTTTTAAATAAAATGAAACAATAAACCTATTTTTCCTTTTCAATATAATCACTCTTAAGCTGAATACATTTATTAGATCTATGAATTATTTTTTCTAAACCATCGTACAAATATTTTTTATCTTTTGCCTCAAAATGAGCTAAATTTGACTCCTTTACCTCATTGTCGTCGGAAAATTTCCTTCACCCTGTCTTTTTTTAAATTGGGAAACAAATAAAAATCACTTGGGGCCAGATCTGGACTGGGTGGGTGGACCAGTGTTTCGAAGCAGAGCATGCAGGGCAGCCATTGCAACTCTGCTCCGTGAACCAGCGCGTTGTCTTACAAAAGCAACACACCCTTGGTCAATTTTCCTAAACGTTTTTCTTTGATGGCCCCCTTTATTTCTCGAGTATCGTATCGTATGCGTTTAGTATTCTCCGGTTATGGTCCTTCCCTTTTCTTTGTAATCAATGAGTATTATCCCCTCACAATCCCAAAAAACCCTTACCTACCCTTTTTTATGCTATTGCATGGACTCTTGTTTGGACTCAGGCTCAAAGTGATGAACCCATGTTTCATCTCCGGTAACAATCCGCTGCAAAATCTGTGCAGGTTCGTCCACACAACTCCAAAAATTGTTTTGACGCATCGACGCGCTGTTGTTCCTGGAGCGGCGTGAGCATTCTCGGTACCCATCTTGCACTGACTTTTGTCATACCTGGTGGTCATGTAGGATTCGCAAAATAGTGGTATCTGATACTGCAACTAATGCAGATAACAGTTTTTTCTTCAAACGGGTATCCTCCAGTACAATTTTTTCTACTTTTTCGACGATGTCTGATGTGGTGGCCTCAACTAGGTTTCCTGAGCGGGGATCGTCTTCAATCGACGCCCGACCATGTTTAAAAAGACCATGCCACTTGTAAATCATTGATTTACTAGGGCACTGTCCCCCATAAACGGTTTAAGTTTCGTTCAAAATGGTCTGAGCGTTCTTTCCTTGTTTGGTAAGGAATTTTATCACAGCACGGTGTTCAATTTTCTCCATAGTTTCAGTTTTCTTCCGTATAGACTTGTTTCATCACATCAACACATCAACAGCCTATATTAGTCCACTGCTGGACATAGGCCTCTCCTTAGAAAGGAGGTTTTGGCCTACTATACCACGCTGGCCAGACGGGTTGGTATAGGGTTTGTGTCAAGTTTTCCTTCTCTTTGCAGTGCCGTTGTCCTGGTAGTTTGCTCCCTTAGTCGGCTCTTACGACATCCACGGGATGAACAGGGGTGGTGACACCACCGTTTAGCAGGCCAATATTCGTAAACGAATAAAGCAAAAGGGCTGAAACTTAATTTATATACTAATGATGAGTCCCCAATTAGTATGACACTAAGCGAGCGCCCCTGTCCCAACTCCATCCCCTCCATTCCACGAACTTTTGGACCTCCCCTCGTATTTACGTATATTTTAATAAAATAAAATGTTACAGAACGTATGACAACTAATTTGTAGGTAAAACGAAACGTTCAATGGCGAGAATTCTATATCAATCTGTGGTAGGTCCAGGTCTCCGTAAAGAACACCATTTGTTTTAGCATGGAACTAAAAAACCTGAAAATTTATCTCTCTCTTATAAAATTCTGACATTTACCTACACACATTGGTATACACTAAGATTAACTAGTAAAACCCACGATATAACAATACAAGGGCTTTACATTAACATACAAAACTGAAATCTGTAAAACGGTAATTAGCAAGTATAAAGAAATGATATCTCTTAAGAATGTAATATTGTAAAAATCAATTTCTTTGACCCCTCCCTATTCTTTAATCTGTCAGAACTGTCAAACGGTACTTTTTCTTTCGGATTCTAGTAAATATTAAAAGTTAATTATATATTTATTCAATCGCTCGCAAAAGCTCTATGCCAAGGATTAAATCATGAATTTTGAGGATTGTAAAAATACACTATATAGGTGTTTAGGCGGAACGTTGAACATACGAAAATAGGGGACAGGTGGGGTCGTCTGCTACCTACCAAAGATTTGCCCCCAAGAATTTTTTTATTTGAATTTTTCTTTAAATTTTCTGATTTTCGTCACCTTTAAACCTCATACCTTTTTAGGACAAATCTTTAAAAAATAAAATTTGTTGCAGATTATTGCTAGAACAAAGTTATGAACCCTCAAATGTAAAAAAAGAGTTAAGAAACTTTTAAAGGTCAACTTCTCGTTGCCTTTAAAAACAGTGATGGAAGACTTCTGATTTTTTTTATCATCTCTAGAGCATGATACTTCTAATGGTATGTAGTTCAAATAATTCAACTAAAAAAACCTTGTGGCTTAGGTCAAATCTTTGATGCTGAGTAGGTAGCAAGCGACGCCAATTTCGGATGTTCAACGTTCTGCCGAACACCGTCGTCACAGTCGCCGTCACAACCGGCATAATACAGGAAGTGCGTTACGTGTTAGGGTGACTTTTGAGCATACTTTTTAATATACCGTGTAACTGTTATTTTGTTGTACAATGCAAACATTGTAGACTTATACATACTTTGCGCATCTGTGTCAGAGTTAAACTCGTTCCGTGCGACAGGCCAGGTGTGCTCCCGTGATTCCGCGATATCTGGCTCACTGCTTGAAACGCATTGCACCATGGCCTGGAACCAATTAAACATATTTTTGAAGTGAAACTTTTTTTACATCGCTTCAAATTTTTTGTCCATCTATCGCATGTCACAATACAGCTAATTCCAATATGGCGGCACTCGCATCAGCTGACCGTGTAGCATGTGCTCAGTTTTTAACATGCGTCTATCATCTGAATGATTGTATTTATTATGTATGCCGTACTCTAATATGCAGATTGAAATTAAAATTTATAGTTAGATCTGTCTACTACTGATTTCCCATTATTATTCACATTTGCCAATTATTAAGTTAAGATTAAAAACTCGATTTTAATACCCTAAATCCGAAAAAAAGGTGGCGTGGTTTCATAAAACCACGCCACCTTTTTTTTATTTTTTTATATACTGAGTTTTATAGTATTATAAGGCTTACATTGCATTTAATTAGGTAGTAGAATAAAAGAAAACTAAATGAAAACATTATGAACCAAATCAAAAGCTTATTGAGAAAATTACATATGCTACATTATATATTGTGGTATTCCATATATTTAACACTATCCAAATAAGTTTATTTATTTAAGTGTGATACGACATTATTAATAATTCCGTTACTTTTTTGCGATAAACATTCCAACATTATTTAATCAATTTAACAAACAAGAAACGAACAAACTTAATTGACACAATAACTGTATACATAGTTATTCCTGTTCTGGTACAACGATGTTATAACCCTAGATAAGTTTACAATATACACCAATTAATAGCTATTTATATCCATTACTTTAAAACGAAATAAAATTGTACACTGTTAATAATCATAAAAAATATATTATAGAAACAAACCCAAACAAGGAGCAAATGTATTCATTTACAACGTTAGAGATCGCGAGTCAGATTCCTACTTAGTACGTATGTTTATATGTGAGTGTATCCACAAACAATAAGTTTCTAATTATTTTAAATCGTTTTTTTTTTTTGTAATTATTGTAAAAAGAATAAAACTTAAAGTCTCACCGAGGAGTTAGCGTCTGAAGGTTCGGGCGACTTGGTAGTGGTGTCAGCGTAGTTGGCCTGCGTGGAGAGACACCGCGCGGCGTACAGCCTGGGACTGGGCGCCGCCTCCAGCGCGCCCAGCGGGCTGTGCGTGGTCGTGTCGGGGGGGCTGCTCGCGCACGCGGCCCCGCTCGGAGACTTGCCTCGGTTCACTAGCGTCTGAGTGGAAACTGAGTGACGCACGTGCGAGAACCCTTGTCCCAACATTGGGAACTCGTTCATAAATTTCATGTATCCGTCCGAATTATCAACTTTCGCTTCGTTTTCTGGCTGCCCACGGAAGGCCATATTTTCTTGCTTCTCGTCCCTCACATCTTCGGCTTGGCCGTTCTGAGGCGGGGACTCACCGAAATTTCTCTTTTGATTAGTTATCGGCTTATTGTTAGTCAGTAAAACGTTTGGATCAATACTCAATCTGGATGCATTGCCACCCTGTAAATTTGTAGTTATCGATGACATTTGAGTGTTGTGCGAATTGGATACGAGCGTTGTTTGCTGTTGTACGATTGTGGTGTTTTGGTGCACGTATGTCGAGTTACTTCTATTGCTGGAGCCAGCTATCGAGACCTGTTTCGGTGATAACGGAACCATAAGAGCTTGGCCCATCTGATTCGTCTGTATAAATTCCTGGGTCTGTACGTTGCCTCCCCGTACTTGAGCATTAGCACTGAAAGCTACATTTGTCGGACTCAAGTTGGCAAGTAAAGGACTCAATTGACCATTAAAGTTAGGACTATTCATCATAACTTGACTGTTCGGTGAAAGGAACTGGGCTCCTGGACTGTGTTGTGATTGTATTATTTTACCTTGTTGATTTCGAATAACTACACCGCCATTGGCACCTGCAGTAAACACTCCTGGATTCTGCACAGGTGTTAAAACACTTTGACCATTAACTGTTTGAAGTTGGAGTTGTACTGGCATTCCAGTTGAATTGTCTTGAATGATAGCTGTTCCATCCGCTGTCATAACCATACCCCCAAGATTTGGCACAATAAATTGCTGGAAAGCCGGGAAATTTGGAACAACACTACTGGCGTTGTTTATAAGATTGACAGGTTGAAGTAAGTTTATTTGTTGTGATGGTGAAGTATTTGTAATGATTTGTTGAGATCCAAAATTGTTGGTATTTCCCTGTCCATTCATTACTATGTGCGCTGGTGTCCCAGACTTACCAGGAACTATAGTTAAGGCTTGCAGCATCGGCGTTGGCGATATATTATTATTAGGTGATAACTGAAATCCTCGCGGTGAAAACTGCGGACTAGAATTATGTTGTGGTGAAGAATGGTGAACCATTATATTGTTAGGATTTGGTTGAGGCGCAGTAATTTGTAAAACATTTGTAATATTTGCAGGGCTTTTCTTTTTCTTACTTCTCTTTTTTACACTTTCCGGAGAAAGCATGGCTACCCCTTGTACGTAGCCTTGGTTGTTTTTCACATCCATTTGTCGAGGACTTTCGTTTGGTGACTGTCCCGACACAATGCCACCAGTCACTATTTGAGGTATTACGGTATTTTGTTGCATCACTTGACCATCTACAGCCATCATAGGTGGCTGGATAACAAACGGGGCCGGTAAAGTGTTAACTACAACGGTAGGTTGGTTAACTATAGGTTGCATCCCCCCCACTGCAGGAACTACTTGAGTAACAGATGAAGTAACATTTGATGCATTGCCTTGCATAGACGCTATAGCTGTTGAAGTTTTAGGAGGCGGAGGCGGCATTTGGTTATTTGAGACTAAAATCTGACCCGTGGACGATATTAATATCTGTCCAGGAGTTGTGCAAGTTCTTCTGTTTAATTGTGCTAATGATGTCGCTTGCGTATTGCTGGTTTCTGGCTTTGAAGGTAAACTTCCAATAACATTTTGAACCATTTCCAATGGAGATTTAGATATCATATTTTGGGCAGTTGTTCCTGCTATATGTAGAGGATAGCTTGTAGGCAAATTTACAGAATTTATGAAAGGATCCGGCTGGTTATTAGGAATAGCATATGTTGTAGCCAAATTAACACTCGGTGGTGGAGGTGGTCTTATAAAGTTTGCTTGAGACGCATTAATTGATGTTGTAGCCGTATTGGCCTTTCCAGCTAACACTGAAGTAACTGTATCTCTGGTTACTGAAAAACCGCTTGCCATCGTCGTGACAAAAGTTTGCACATAACAGGCCTGGATTAAAGAATGAGCAGGGCCACCACCTAAGTGAGGAGGTGGACAGTAACCAGGCATTGAGTTCTCGACCCTTCGTCTCGATTCCAACCTGAAGATATCTTGAGCTGGTTTCAAACCAGGTTTTACACCAACCATGGATATGTTATCGACCTCCATGAGATTTTTATTAACATTGTGGTTTGATATGAAATGCATAACTTGAGTTCCAGTGATTGATTGACTATGAGGGGGGCCTGGTGCATTATAAGGATATAACTGATTACTTCCAGGTGTTAAAGGATTACTACTAAAGTAATCTCTACAAGATCCTGAATTGGCATAAGCAGGACTAGGTATAGGGTACGAACAGTTAGACTGCATTTGGGAATTATTGCTGCCATTACTATGAGGAGTGTCAGTACTTCTTGAACTATTTGATAACGTCGGTGATGGCTCCGGAGGTTGTAATGTCTCTGTGATAGATACATTACTAGTGCTCACAGTCGCTGCTTGTATTGGCCCACAATTATCATTCAACAATGGACCTCTTTCAATGAATGTTGACGATGTCACAGGATTATCGTCAAATCCGTGTTTGGGACTGGATGTTGTTGAATTGCTGTCTAACTCCATTTTATACATATGTTGCTTCATGTATTTCAGACGCATTTGATTATCAGTATATTCTGGACTGTTACTTTTAATTGACGCGGTACATCCTTTACAACACTGTGGCATAACATGGTCCGTCCCCTTTTCTAATAAAACACTACTGTCCGGTGTGCTAGTAGGTGATGAAGACGGATTTGGCACATTAATTCTGTAAATATTAGACATGTCTACAGCTTTAGACATAGATTTAATCTTATCCATTTGATTTTGATGATTCTGTGTAACACTGTAATTAGCAGAATTAGAATTATCATATTGGTTGGTGTCGTAGGACGAATTAATACCTACTTGTTTTGAAATAGTATTATTTAATAGTACAGTCTGTTGTGCTAAATATCCATTAGGATCGTCCATGAACGATGGTACAATGTTACTAGGCCCTTCATCTCCAATATTTTTCTGTTCTTGCATCACTCTCATACCATTATTCCCAAAATTGAGTGTCTTATTTTCTGTAGTGTTGCTCTTTTTCTTACTATTCTTACCGTTGCTTTCTTTTGTCTTTTTCTTACTAGTGTCAACAGCTGGCCATTGTTGTCCTACCATATTGTAGTGTTGAGGTAAGGGCGGCACACGCGGACACATACCTTGATTATTAACTTGCTCACTACTCGAAAACGAGCTATAAGACCCTGAAGAATCTTCAGATATACTAGTATTACTCTCTTCATAATCGTTCTCAGTTTTCTGTAGTTTAGGAGTAGGACTAGTCATGGGGTTTGAAGCGTTAGGTTCGCTTCGTTTCACTTGCCACGGAGGCGTTTTAGCAGGATTCGTTTTCACTACTGCACCATTTTGTATAACTAATTGGCCCTGAGGAACATATTGAGGAAGACCTGGAGATTTATTCTGATTGATATTTTCCGCTAACTGTGTTCTATATCCTTTCATAGCAATTTCAATCTGTTTTTGATTCTGCTGTATAAATATCTGTTGTTGTTCGTTTATTTTTTGCATAACTTCAGGCGTTAAAGCTTGATTTAACCCGCAAAATATTTGCGGTTCTTCTTCTTTATATGGATATTTAGTAACCTGCATGTTTTGTTGTAGCATGGGGGCAACATCTTTCTTTTCCTCTTTTATTTCTTGATCGTAGACATTTTGTGACATTCCTGAAACCTGTTTGTAATTATTTGTTTGTTTAACATGAGACGTATTAACGCCAATAATTTGTCCATTGGTTCCTACAATTGGTAAACCACCACTGTGAGAGGTGTTCACAGCCGAAGAATTTTGTTTTTGTCCACTTTCGTGACTTTCCAAGTGAGACTGTGAATGTTGTGATATCCAGCCGCTGTTGACAGTAAGATAATGGGAACTCCTTTGTACGTGTGCCTCTTGTTTTATTTCAGTATCTTGAGATATAGTATTCATCACATTTTGTTGATGAACAGATGTATAAGGGGGTAGACACGGAGGCTGAATTCCATTGCCACGTTGCGATCCCATACCCGTGGCAGATTCCCGTTTGGTTTCAAGATCCTGCCCCTGTAAAACATATATTTAATAAATTAGTGGATCGTTCCAAAACGGCTCTAATTAATATTGGGACATTAAATCATAAATCTATATCAATGTTAAGAAGTCAGTCTGCCGTCGAAGAACGTGTTAAAATAAGAAATAACCTTAGTTGGGTAATGCATTTGACACCGTTTCAGTCCTTTTCACAGTTGTGAATACTTGATATGCTTACCTTGAACTCGTTAAGCGGTCGTTCCCTTTGCACCATCAGTTGAGACACGCTTACGCTAGGGGGGAATCCTGGACGTTTCTTCATTTTTCCTTTCTTAAGTAGGGCGACTTCTGTACCCGCTACTGGAAATAAATATTAACTACGTATTAACTTCATAATCAAATATTCAGGCAATAATTTACGGCCTGCTTATGATACTCTGTATAACTTCTCTTCATATTGCTTAATTCTATCTCATCGTGTGTACAGGAAAGTGTCGTATTTGCTACAAGGTTACGAATTTAACTAAAATTAACTAATACATAATCTGAATGAAAACGTTTAAGCATTCAATCGGCACAAAACAATTTGAAAATTTAAGTTAAATAGAAGTGTAGAACATTGTACGCGACGTCATTGGGTGAGGTGAGGTGTGGGAGACCGACCGGGTGACTTTGCGCTGCTCTCCAGACGACCTAATAATTTAAAATAACATATAATAAAATGTAAAAGTTTAAAACAATACAATTGCTGAAATGATTCTTTATAATTCTTGACACAAGTATTATACATAATTTATTTTAACTCTTCTAAAACAGAAGTGGCTACTTCAAATTATCAAAAAAAAAACAAATGTTCTATTATATGTATAATGTTATATTGTTATTTTTTTAAACAGTTAACAAAGGAGAACAATCAAACACAAAATATGGAGATGTAAACTATGGTCCTGAGATAAACAAATGGGCCATCAATTCAGTAAGCTGACGGAGCTTATGTAATTAAAACGGTTTATGACGTTTCCGTTAAAACATTACGCAATTAAGAGCCATTATGATGTGGTAATTTGATTTTAGACGGCTGTACCATGCAAAGTCTATCTAGGCGTTTTTCAGCCGTGTACTCGATAAACTTGGTGTTTCATAATTAGTTCGCAAGCAGACTATAATACCGTTATCTATTTGCACATTATCTGGCAGATTTGCAATTAAAATACGGGTTGTGTGCGGAGCCAGCAGAGGCAGGGGTGGTCTCGGAGGCGCTAGGCGCCAGGACGCGGTAGGACGGGGCGGGTGGTGGCACGGGCGTCGGGCGCAGGGTGGCCGCGACTCGTCAGATCAATAGTCGACGGGGCGCGCGCCCACGCCACCGGCCGTTCTGCACCACCGCCGATTGTTTCAAATTACACCGCCTTTGTTCCCGCCACTGCCACTGATCGAGTCGCTCGAGTTTTTGTTTGTTCTAAACGGCCGACTTCCTTTACGGTAATTACGCATTCTGTGAGCCGTACAGATTTCGTCGATTCATTCGCTATTGCATCTAACTGTACTAACATCTTTATGTTTGAAATATTTGATTAGTGTTAAAAATTAAAGGATATTATTTTGTTCACGAGAAAGAGTATTATATTGTAAAGCATTTACTCATCTTAATCATGTCACTTAAGTAGTTACTACATATTATACATCCTTTTATAAATTATCATTTATTTTTAAATAATACACATATGGAGACATGGCAGCGATGGCAAAGGGGTGTAGGGCGCTATGCAGGTTGGCCGGACGGACGACTGACGAAGTGCTCGCTATTCATGCCACACTAAATGCACCCCCGCGCCCGTCCTACAGTTGCTGCCACTTAACCACAAAGAGACCGCTCTACCCTCTTTGTTACAAGAAACAACTCAGTCCTACCAACAAACACTTTTGAGTGTTAGTTTAGAATACGTTGCTAATGAAAGTGCTGACTTGGCTTTCTTAAGCCACTTGTTATATTATCAACAATTCCCAATTTTATACTATAATTGCCACCCATTTATATTAAATCATCACATTCCTCGCGTGTTTAGTTTATGTTAAATCGTCCTAGGCATGTTATAATCGTCTGTCTGTTCTTTAGTAATAACTAAACTAACGGTAGTTGTAAAATCCAGTTAGAATCAATATAGGAAGTTTAAACGTGGAGATGCCGGGCACGATTAGGTGAGGGCAGGCGTTTCCCGGTTAATCCCGTTCGGTTCACACTCGTGTAATTGGATGAAGAAGGAAGGCCGAGAGTGGAGATTGCACCGGAACACCCGCCGGCTAATCGGATAATAATGTTCAACATCAACCCACTGTTGTATAAACCCCATTACGTATTAACTCCATTTAACAATTTTAACATTTTATTTTTCTAAATAATAACTAATTACGTTTTTTTTTTATTGTTTATTATGTTATTTATGTTTTTGTTGAGCACGTCGGGTACAATGAGCTAGTGTCCTCGGAATAGCAGTGATGACATTATCGTATTGCGCCACATGTCCATATGACTAATGAATCAACCATGCATGTCCTGTCCTGTCCTGTCCATCTTCAAGAGATGGTAATAGGACGACATATAGTCTCCAGTGTTTCTGGAGAATTTGTAACCAAAACTTTCTGTTCAGTTACGAAACTCCTAGCGGGTGTAGTTCTACAGTAATACAGCGAGGAATGGGTGCTCGCCTCAAGTGACGTACAACTACGATACCAATAATATTTACAAATACATACACAAACAGTTAGTTTGTAAAATTAAAGGTCGCTTATTCAGGACTCAGGGGTCTTTAATGTTAATGAACTACCTTGTAACACAAATGCTCTAATTTAGAGGTAAATGTCCCAAAGGATGGTGGCACATTTAACGTTCTTACGAATAGAGCACACATTTCACGTGACACTTAGACACACCTCTGTTAACAGCTATGTTAGGTGTAAATATTTTATATTGCTTTTTATCTTTGTAAACATTTTTCAAAATGTTTACTAGCTAGCTTTCAGAAACAGTACGTTTTCTACAGGTATCGGTTCTCTATATTCCTGGTATTTTTATATTTATATATTTAGAGGAATATCAATGTTATTTTGTACAAGTTACGTAATCTAAAACGCAATTGATCACAGACTACATTAATGTCAAGCCCTTCAGATCTAATAGATTGTTATGTCTACTCTACTTACAGGGCATAAAACGGGATCAATTTTAGCTCAGAGTGCATTAACATTTCACTGCTACACACACAATGGCATTTAACATTCATAGTTACATTGAGCTTCTATAAATGAAATTATGCAATAATTCACATCTCCGTGTCACTACAAATCCGGCACAAATGGCAGAACATCCTGATACAACTGGCTAAACACAATTTGTTCTTTGATATCTCGTCAAGTCGTCAACAATTCGCTACAAGATTCCCCTTACCCTGCTCCATGTCATGAATATTAATTCTACTAACTGTTATATCTTCGTGTTTTTGCCCGACAAATTCATGATTGAGTTTGAGTTACATCAACAAAATAAGTAAAATAAAGAATTTTTGAAATTAGACAGTAACTAATTAAGTTAAACATTTAAAACCTTTATTTCTACCTTCAATCATTATATGAAATACATGAAATAAAGCTATTTAAGAAAATGCTAGATAAGCTAGAAGAGGCGATGTATCAACCGAATCGTATTGTATTGTTATACATATCGTATATGTTACGTTAAAATTGCATTAGTAGAAAAGGGCTTCCAAAATATATGGCCCAGTATCCAGCAAAATTAGCAGGGTGGGATAAGAATATATTTTTCTTCTAATCAGGATTCAAGATATACTTTAAATCACTTTACAGTTACAAACAATCAAAACAAGCTAGAGGATAGGTACCCATGAAAGAAAAGGAAACGGTTTTTTTTTTTTACCTAAAGTTATTTTTAGTGATTGTATTGATTTAATGGTCTTATCTAACTCCGTAATTAAATAATGAAGTGGACAAAAACCATTCATTTAAACGTCTTATCGTTATCAGTAGTCAGTCCTGTACTTCCACTATTCACACAAACCATAATAGCTTTACCTTTCTTTTGTTCGATGGTTAAAGGAGGTGGAGTTGCAGGAGACTGTGCCCGTGCTTGAAGCGTCGTGAGTAGTTTCCGTTTGTGATTGCAGAGCTTCGTCAACTCCACTCCTGACGCTGCTTGGTACGGCTTGCTCACCACCTGTTAAATATACCACAGGTTACATTAAAATTCCTGTTTACACAACAGTAAACAAAATGATTCAAAATGATATCAAGGGATTAGTTCAACACAAATTAACTAATCACTTGATATCATTTTGAATGGTATTGATATTCGCGGTAACGCAGTCGGAGCGAATTAAGATATATGTACATTATATTATTGTAGTTGATTACTTGGATTTTCAAAACAAATTGTGAGCGAAATCGATTGTAAACTAGGCTACTTCGGTATAACTAGTGAGTGTAACCAATTATACAACGTTGTATTTCCTTGATTTCACACCAACAGCTAGTTGCGATCTAGATCGCAATTTAATATAACTGCTGGCGCTCTCGTTAATAATTACCGAAACCAAATCATGAATATAATAATTATCAATCATACGAAACGCTGTACGTTCACAAGAATAGTCCCTACTCTGTAAAATTTACCTAACTAAACGAAGATAAAATGTATCAAAATAAATGAATAAAATTTAAATTACGAATTTATAAATATATTAATATAAATAATAAATAATTTATAATAATATTAATTTAAATAGGAAATTAACATAGCTTAAATGACATTTAGATTTTCTAGAATTTCTATACATGTTTTAATTTTAAACTTGCTAAATACCAAGGATTGTATCTGATTTCCTTCTGTAGAGGATAAGAAAAACAGATGGTCTCATATTTAACGATAAAAGTTAATAAAACCTGATAATACATGTTAACAGATTTATAAACAAGTCCTACTCTATCGGATACTGACATCGGTGTGCAATAATTAACCTATCGTCGCAATCACATTGAACCGTATGTGGCCAGTATTCGATTTAAGCTAAGTGGTCACAATTTAATAGTTAGGTAGCGATAATATAGTGCTGGATCTGCGAACACGTACGCCATTCATTATGGACGGACGCCCACTGTGCACGGTTGCACACGCAAATTGCTCTACGCTCGCCCGCTGACACAGCTGCATACGACTTGTACCCAATGTTTGTACAAAACGAGGAAATTGTTGTTTTCGCAGCTCTAAGTAACTGGTGCGTTAGCACTACCATAGTAATGACAGGGTGGTTTTAAATGTTGCTAAAGTAGATTACTTTAGAGAGCAAACGCTTAATAAATGACTGTGAGTTGTTTATCTTATTAATACCTATTCAGTAAAATAACAGAAAGGGATCTAATGTATAAATATTTAGGGATCAATTGTGTTGTGTATATTTCTACTCTGAAGTCCATGTTTATGGTCTATTAGTCGGATAGAATTAGCGGAAAATGAGTCTAAAAATCGTAAAATTATTAACCTCCATTTTCTTTTTTTATCCGTTAGTTGACAACGTTACGATTAACATATTTTATTTCAACGCGGATCCGTTCATGGGAAAATTTTAAAAAATATGTCAAATACTGCCAAAAACGGTTTATCTCGTTTTACAAGAGAACTTCAAATCGTACAAAGTGTAAATATATGCAAAATGCGCAATAAAAATACGAACAAAATGAAACTTATAGAGTAACAATTGGTTGAATAGTTTTTTTACAAATTTCAAAATACCGGCTTTTTTTACCATTAAAAAAAATTATAACTCGCATTTCAATTTTAAGACCCCAAATTTGGTGAGAATGAACCCAAATGGGTTTTATAGCCTTCAGTTAGCCCACAAAATTTCAGCAAGATCGGCTTTAAACTTTTGCGAAACTTAAAAAAAACTGAAAAAAAGAAGAGAAGCCGGGAGAACGGCTCTAAAAAATTTTTTAGGACAACTTGGAATGCATTTTCTAAAACACTTTTGTTCGTCAAGACTGCCTCTACATCGTGGTAAAATGCCGTTATGTTCAGTTATATAGAAATACAGAAAAAGTCGATTTACAACAATCACAAATTTTCGCTCCTCCCGGTAGTCAGTGGTGGGGGGCGCGCTGCTGCCCGGCTGCCCCAGATCAAAACCCAGTAAGGATCATTTTTTCTAAAATCACTTTTGGTGTATATTTCAAACTTTCATAAAAACCTTATAATTAACAGATATTTTAACATCAGGAAATCTAGTAAGTGTATTATACTATATCAAAAAACCAGATCAAAGACCTAGTAACTCGCCTTTACCACTTCTACCAGGGCGCGACGCGCGAAGGGACTGGATGATTAACGCCTAAATCTATCATCACCCGATATTCAAATCCCCATTTCAAAATACAGCAAGTGTTTATACTAGGTTTTGAAACGAATCAGGACAGAAACAAAAGTTGTGTTTGTCTATTTTCAAAGTTAGTAAGGGGGATAAAACATGCAATATACATTATTATCGAAATATTTTACTCATTTTGTAATCAGTGGCTAGTACTCTATCGAATAAATATCACTTTTATACTTTAACACTAATACTTTTGTAAGGCTATTCTGTTTTATGTTTTTGCGCTCTTCTCTTCTTTCTTTTCTCTTCTTCTTTTATGCTCTATTTGATAAAATACACTTACTGGATTTTGCTTTGGGGCAGCCGTGCTGTTGGCCTATGTACGCCCAATTCCGAACACTCCGGCATTATGGCCGGAGCGCAAATTTGTGATTGTTCTAAATCAACTTTTTCCTATTATTTCTACTTAACTGAATAAAACGGCATTTTACCACGTTGTAGAGAAAGTCTCAATGAACAAAAGCGTTTTTGAAAATTCATTCCAAGTTGACTCGCAAAAAGTTTAAAGCCGGTCTTGCTGAAATTTTGTGGGCTAAGTAGAGGCTACAAAACCCACATTCTTATCAAATTTGGGGTCCTAATATTGATTAGAACGCGAGTTTTTTTTTTAAAGTGTTACCACCTTAAAAAAACTGCGGTATTTTGCAATTTTCTATTACTATTCAATATACTATTCAACCAATCGGCTCTACAAGTCTCATTTTATTTGTCTTTTTATTGCGCATTTTTGTACACTTTCTTCGTACGATTTGAAGTTTTCTTGTGAAACGCGATAAACTGTTTTTGACATTTTTTTTAACAATGTTCCCACGAACGGATCCGCGTTGAAATGAAATTTGTTAACTAACGCATAAAAAAATGAAATGTCTGTTATCTATTTTATTCGTGGTATCGCTAATTCTATCAGACTATGTGGTTTTGTGAAAGTGTCGAGTTAATACTGGAATTCATACAAAAATTCTGGGGATAAAACCTGATTTCATTGTTTTATTAGGAAAATTAGCATACCTAATTGTATGTCACTTGGTTGATTATAAATTATAAACGTATGAAATAGAGCAACGGGTAGTAGTTAGCATTTTCCCTAAAAGATTTACTTTTTTTAACGATATGCAAATTTGACATTAAGCTTTAGAAATTGTTAACCTTATACTAATTTCAAGTTATACAGCAATGTGATTTCCTTCTTAAACACTTCTTATGTTTTCAGCTTTCTTACTCTCTATCTCCGGTTCGAAGAACGCTCGCAAAATCAAGCATTCCTTTCCCCAGCAAACCTATTCAATTGATATTATCATAGATTTATATATTTATATCCCAGCGTAGTTTAATGATGATGAATTGATTTGAACCTATATTTTTGAATGAAAATAAACGAGACAGTAATAAGTACGTTCGTGCGGCGCAAATAGAAGGTCGTGGCCGTCCTTGTGCCAGTTAGCGTGCAATCACATTTGTAGCTAAACGTCAAATTATGACTAAAACAGTATAGTTAAGTAATATATACATATACATGTACAATATGTATTTTTAAAAGTGCTGGTAACTGATGTCTATGTAACTCATTTATGAGAGCAGCTCAACACTCACTTAAAGAGATCTCAACAAAGGTGTTCTCACTTTGTCTCCTAGTTTAATATTTTCCTTTTGACGTTTCTTTTCTTATTTTCGTTTCAATTGGTCTTGATTTTGAGAATATATTATTATCTACTATGATCTGGTAAAAATATCCTGAAATATTTCTTTAAAAAAATGTAGATATACTGTTACCCTGCATTGAAATACGGGTTTTTATCTAAACGGTTTGTAGTAACAAAATATTCTTGACCGATAAACTCTTAAATGAATTTCATCGTTTTATCCGTTTGCTATTTATTCTTATTACAAGATAAAACATCTCAAAATTCCTATATTTTGAGACCGTTGTGCAATGAGTGGGAGACTCGTTCGTGGGGATAAAGAGGGAGTCTTGGTTGTTTGATGACCTTGTCTATCATCATTTGCGATCTTCTTTATGAAGAATTTGTACGTAAAATAATAATAATAAATGTTTACAATGGTAATCCTTTGAAATTATTGTTGTATTAAATCTAACGCTGAGGGATTGTATAAATACCCTTACAGTTCCACATACAAACAGTGCCTTTGTATCAGTTTGGATTTGAAACATAGTTTGGCTAACAAATACTATTTACGATTTATGACTGTCATAGAAGACCAGTTTTCATTACATGTGACAATAGAAATTCAGAAACTCTACGTTGATAAGCCCGTTCAGCAACACAAAATTCAAAGCAATTTTTTGTTATTGTTGTGTAGTGAGTGCAGTATTAATTAGCCTGTCTCAGTTATTTTTCAATTTGACTTTATTGTAGGTATCGTTTTCTGACTTGAGTTGAGAGCTGCTTTTACAATATCGCATGCATATCAAAATCTGTCTGGCGTCTGTACAACAACGTTGCTGCCACGACGGAACTCTTATTAGAATAATGTTCCAGTTCAACTTTTCAGTGTTCACAGAAACAAACGGCAAGAAAACAAGTGAACGAATGACACTGGAAGAGAAATGATATAAAGCTAGACACAGATGAAATAAATATTACTACAAAATTATAAGAACTTGAAGAAACAACCTTCATACCAGCTTATAGCTATTTTATAGTAAAGAATTTATAAAATATTTCTATTGCCTGCTAAATTAAGTACACCCAGTAATAATAGCATAGAAAGAGTATACAACAACCCACAGATATGCAACATAGTATTCAATCACACAATTCAATTTAGCTTA